ACACAGACAAAGAAATCTAAACACAGATGACCTACAAGATCAAAAATGTCCATTAGACAGGGACAGACAGACCAGATTGTATCAAGTATTTGTAACCCTCAGATAGGAGAGAAGGCCACCTGAGCGATGTGAACAGGGGGTTATGCTCCAGAACAGTTAGGGCCCAGGGCAAGAGCACCATCCAGGATAGAAGGGGGCAAACCCCTGCCAAATATGTGAAGCAAAAACTGCCACATTTTAAAATCACATCATGAAACAGACCTTTTGACAGGGAAAGGCATGGTACCTAAYATGAAATGCTTGCAATTCACAAGAACCTCTGATCAGACATCATCTGCTCAGGATTCAGGTGCTTTGAATGCGTAGGAACTCMGCAGAGCTACTGCTGATGGGTCCTGGGCCCACAGGAACCCATAGCCCAGGCTCCTGCATTGGCACGGGTTTGCAGACAGATACTCCCCAGCATTGTACATGAAACCACACACCCACAACAGAACATGTTCATCAGAGATTAATAGACAAAATGATAAGAGTGATAAGTCTCCTGCTATGCCTCTGATCATGCTGGATGCCTTGAGCTCTTATCTGTAATTTTCCTACTTTTAGGTACACAGAGTTTCATAGAATACTGCAGCATCCAACCAGAGCATGCACCTAGTGTAGACATGCTCCTTACTTCTGGAGGAATGGTTCTGACAGACACAGCCTCTGCATTCCACCAGCCTGAAACAGAGCCAGCAGCACTGCTCCAGCTATGGGAGGAGGGCTCCTTCTAGATCCACTGAGGCCTCCATCCCAAAGCTGGTTTTCCCTGGCTCTTACCTCCTTCACCATACCACCCCCTACACCCATACATCTGATGCCCCCTGTCATTCTCAGTCTCACAATGACGCTATTATGTTGGTGGTTTTAAGCTGGGCACAGCTGGTAATGTGACTCCTAGAAATCTGCTCATAGGTCCCATTTTTGCTAAATGTGTTGCAAGGGCTTAGACTTTGACAGATCTCACTGGAGGAAGAAGAGCAAATACTACTATTTTTATCCAAATACTAAGCAGACCACAGCAAGGATCTGACTTTAGGGTAGCTTGGTTGAATTTCTCCAGGTCTAGGGGACAAAGTATCTCATCAGCTTGCCCCCTGTAAGAAAGTAGACAGAGTTCTACAGCGCCAACAAGAAGCAGAAGGTGGGGAAACAAGGGGAAAGAGGCCTCCATGGGGTGAGGACAAGCAAGGATGACCCATCCCAATTCCCTCCACAGAATCACCAGGTAATCATCATTTCTAAGTAATGAGCCCTCTTGGAGACAGTCTCACAGAAAGAAGGACTCAGTCAGGGCTGAGCTCTTACTCCACACCTCAAAAAGCAGCATCCTGAGGCCACTGCTTGGCTGTGATGCAAGTGACAAGGCTGAAGGACGCAGACCATGCATACCCAACCTTTCCAGGGTCTGGTCACCCACATATCCTTTCCTCCATGCAGACACTGGGGACACTGAGTTCCTCGGCACGTGGGTTCAGTGTCTTCTCACATACCTGCTCGCTTCCACCCACATATTTCAGGTGAGTGCGAGCACAGATACACGTTTCAGTCTTTCTAAATTATATTTATGGACTTTATTCATGATCAACTTGCAATAATATATAAAAGGGTTTTTACTTTAATGTCAGTACATGGACCTACTAAGTTTAAATTTAAACTGCATTATTGATACTGTCCTAGTTCTCAGAGAGGGTCAACTCTCATCACCAGGACCAGATACAGGAAGTACTGAAGTTGCCTAAATACATCTGCTGGACTTTCCAGATGGTAATCCATCAGTGACAAAGAATCTGTCCTGCACAGCTCGGCCTCAGAACCTCCCAGGATGGCAGGTTCCCTGCAGAGGTAGCCCCGGCCTACTATCCAACACAATGGCCACCTGCCCTCTGTGTGGAAAGCATGAAAAGTATAGAAAAGTGCAAGAAACGTGTCTAAAAGCACCTCCAAGCATTTTCCACAAACAGCAGTATTTTCTCCTAAGCACATCTACCTATTTTTAAAACAAATGACATCAATTATATGTTCTTTCAGAACAAAGTAGTATATCTATATCTGTAACATCTGGAGAAATTTTTCATGAGTTTTTTTTAGCCTTTTAACAATGTGTACTGACATCCAAAGAAATCTATGAAAATCAAACATCTAGTATTCAAGATTACCTGGATTACTTTTATGCTTAGAAAATGCTTCGGCAGCTCAAAGATCAGATTAATATTCACATCGAGTAATAACAACATATATTCATTTTCCTATGAATATGTAAGTGGTATGTATTCATTGAGGAAAATTTACAAAATTCAGAAATTTGTGCAACAGAGATCAGCAGCAATTCCAGCTCTCAGAGACAAATGCTAAGGCTGAACTTCCCAAAGCCCTTAAATGCACATGTGCCACAGACCAGGCACACACACACTCACCTGCATTTCATGCCATACTATTTTCACATACACTGCCAGCTTTTTCATGTCATGAATCTTTTCTACGACACAAGTTGATGCCTAATGTTCTATTGTGCTGTAGAGTATAGTTATCATTAAGTCCTCTATTGTTGGGCATTTGGACTGTTTCCAATTGTGAATTATTTAAGCAATGCTATAATAAACATTTTCCATGTGTAAATATAACACTTATCTGACTGTCTTCTGAAGGCAAATTCATTAGAATTTCCAGCCAAAGTGGATAAATATTTTTGAAGTTTTTGATACACATGGACAAAGAGTCCTCCAAATGCCTCTGACAGTCAACCTCTCAGACACATGAGATGGCACCCTTGGTCTCTGATTTGTGACCACAACCCTACACTGTAAACCTTTAAAGACCCATGCCAGTAAGACAGTCTATGATGACACACGTGCACTTTCCTCATCTGTGAACAGAGGTTCAGCACCCTTCCATGTTGGTTAGTGAAATGCCTGCTCAGCACCTGACAGTGATATAACTGGGTGGAATCAGTGAGAGACAAGAGGTGTGCAGAAAGAAAGAGGCATCATTAATTTCTAGTCAAAATTTCAACAAATTTAGGTACACTGAAGAGAAAAAATTCTGGCATTTTTATATTAGAATAATTTTTAGATGGACCAAAGTATAATAGAATAAAATTGAACCAGGGTAGAACTCACTGTGATCTCAATGTATAAAGATTTGTCTCCAGTTCTCTCACCAAAGTTAGACTCCATGAATACTCATAGACACTCTGGAGCCAAGAGTTTAGACTCTCATCCTTCTCTTTGCAGTGATGGGGTGAATTGCCAAATAACTGCTTCCATAACTTGAGGGAGGAAAAAATCACAGGGCCTGAAACATGGTGTCTGACCATAAAACAAAACATCTGGAGGCAGCCCAGATGGGTCTCCAGCCACACTGCAGCCATCTCTGCACTCAAAAGAATAAATGATCATTCTAGTTCCAAGTCTAAAACAGGAGCTCAAGCTGAACTCAAAGTCCAAATCATCTCAGAATGTGCAACCAAGTCTCCGATCTTATCAACTCACTGGTCTGACATGTGCAGCCTGCTTCCTATTGGTCTGAGATGCTACTGCTAACCTGTTCCACAGAAGCAAGGCAAGAGAGGCATCGGTATAACCACTGCAACCCTACGAGGGGAACCAAAGAGGTGATGGGGAACTAAAACTGTTGTGCAGATATCTTTCAAAGGTCTAGATGCAGTAATAAATTCTGTGAACACTGCTTTCTGCACGTTTTTACTGCATATGTGTTTAATAAGTCACTAATAAGAATAAGTCGCTAACACTACTAAAACTGGTTTTTAAAAACTGATTAGTGGGGCTGGGGATGTGGCTCAAGCGGTAACGTGCTTGCTTGGCATGCATGGGATGCTGTTTTCGATCCTCAGCACCACATAAAAATTTAAAAAAATAAAGATGTTGTGTCCACCAAAAACTAAAAAATAAATATTTAAAAAAAAACTGATTAGTATGTGTATTTAACATATTGATCCCAGAATAAAGTACAAACAGCAGCGATATTCTTCCTATACAAACACCTGCTGTTTCCCACTGCTGGCTGCCTTTTCATGTCCATCTGGAGATGCCAAGTCCAGAGTCACATGGTTGTTGCACAATGCCACTTTCTCTAGCCAACCTCGGGACGCAGTGCGTGGGGACTCTGCCTGTGGAGGTTCTGGGTTCTGGTGATTGCTCAGCTCCAGATGTATTACCATGACTCTGTAGTTACACTAAAAATGTTTCCCTCTTCTGCTTCTAGAGTAACCTCTCTCTACCCATGCCCCTGTCCATTCCTCATTGTCAATCTCCCAGCGATGGCCTGGCTTGCACCCTCCCCTTGGTAGTCCCCACTTGCCCATGCCCATGTGGAGCCGACCCTCTCCACAGCCTTAGTCACACAGCTACGTGCTAGGGCACCACAGGCTTGTCTATCTGGCCATGGCTGTGACACAAAGGCACATACTCACTCCCTGCATTCCACCTGTGTGTTTGACACAAGAGAGAACTTCCACACCCTTCCCCCTTTCAGGAGCCAGGCTCCAGACTACTTGCCTCTCACTAGCCCCACATTGTTCTCCCTTCCTCAGCTTTCTAGAATGTTCTGACATCACAATCAGCAGCCCTGCACTGCTGTTCTTTTCTAAAATTTGATGGCTACTTTTATACAAATTATTTCCTTGTGACATTTAAAAGCAGTTAATCATTCTCCATAAAATATCCTGTAGCAACCACATTCAGTTAAAAAAAATCAAGTATAAAACATAGTAGGTAACCGACATCATTGGGAATGGCAGGGTAATGACCACCAACAGCTCTCCCCTCCATAAAATCAAAGAGAAAACTGGAAAAAAACGGTCATAATTAACTTTTAAGAACTCCGCAAATTAATCAAGAGGTTGCAGCAATCCAAGGGTCATCTGTTCAAGGAAAAAAAGACAAACAAACAAACTGAATCTTGGCAAAAATGGCAAGCTTTGTGGCACTGTCACTTACCCTGCTCCCATCCCCTTCCCCAGTTCCAGGAGAGCTCTGCAGTCAGGAGCAGCAGCCACAGCAGGGAGGGCAGAGCAGGGCTTCCTCCACAGCTCTGAGCACCTGCATTTGAAAGAGAAGGAGGATCAGTAAGCCAAATTCCCACCTTAAGGAACAAGAAAAACAGAGAAAACCAATCCCATATCAAGCAGATTAAAGGAACTAGCTAATGCTCAAGCAAAAATAAACAGTAGAAAAACAAGACCAAAAGCTGGCTCCTTGAAAAGAGCAACACTGAGAAACCTTTTTCCAGGCTGAAAAAAGAGAAAGAGAAGACTCAACTAGGAATGAAAGCAGATGTTACTTTCAAATTTACAGAGAAAGTATTACAAGGAGACACTATGGGCAATTCACATCAACAAATTAGATAAACTAGATGAAGTGAACAAGTTCCTAGAAATACGTACAAACTATAAACACTGACTCAAGAAAATATAGAAAGCTGAATAAACCCCAACAGATTGAATTAGTAATCAAAAAACTTCCATAAGGAACCAGGTCCAGGATCAGGTCGCTTCACTGGTGAATTATGCCAAATGCTTAAAGAAGAATTGACATCAATCCCTCACTAACTGTCCCAAAATGCAAAGGAGGAAAGGATAAATCCCACCTCACTTCATGAGGCCCATGGTTCCCAGACACCAAAACCAGACAGAGATCTCAGAGGACAATTACAGACGAATATCTCTCGTGAACAGATGCACAACTTCACAACAAAATACCAAATCCATAAATACATGATAAAAAAGAATCACACACCATCACCGAATAGGATTTACAAAAAAAAAAAAAAAAAAAAAAAGCAAGGTTGGTTTAGCTTTCAAAAGTCAATCAATGTGACATGTCATATTAAAGGAATAAAAGATAAAAGATAAAAATGCTTTTTTCCATTTTGTTGACTTCCATTCTTAACCTTCTTTTCTTCTACTTTTTGCTAAGTTCTTAGACACTTAAATAATGGATCTACAGTCAAGCATTGCACAACTACAAGGTTTTTATTTATATTGTTAGAGTTGTTCAATTCTAGATATTTCCATTGGAACTTCCTCCTTAAATAGAATGCTTTTTCAGTGTTTTAAAATGTCTTATATAAAAGTCTTCTTTCTCTGCGCTTTTATTATTGAGTTCTGACTTAACTACTTTGATCAAAGAACATGGTCTGAGAGAATGTGCAACTTACTTTGTGACCAAATACACAGACAGATTTGGGGACCGTTTTTTGTGCCTCAAGAGAATATGTGCACTATAGTTGGCCACATTTTTATATGGTGAAGACATAAAGCTCAATGTATTTTACCTCTAAAATCATGAATACTTTTATTTTTGTGTGTGCACTTGACTTATTGATTACTAAAAAAGGAACATCAAAATACCTCACTTGATTGCAATGAGTTAAGTTTTTTGATTACTAATTCAATTCAGCCATTTTTCCTCTACATTCTAAACTTTAGTTATTACACATAGATAAATTCTCTATGTACTCTGAGGTTTGGCTATTAGCTAGTCGTATACCACCTATGGTGTCTTGGTCAAGGACAGACCACACATAATCAGGAAGCCCCATCAAACTGTATTGCAGCTGCGCTGAGCATGGTGGCATACCCCTGTAGTCCCAGCTGCTCAGGAGACTGAGGCACAGAGGCTTGAGCCTGAGAGTTGGAGACCAGCCTGGGAAACACAGCAAGACAAACAACAACAGATCATAATTGAGCTAAACAGTCCCTGGTTGGCAGTGTGACAGCAGTGGCGATGCCACAGCCTAATGCCATGCTCACATGGTGGTGCTGGTCTAACAAACCTGCTGCGGCCCACTGCATCCCAGTAGAGAGCTCACCACTAGCTAAAGCACACAGTTCATACTGGCAATGATGATGCCTGTTTATTGTTTACCACACTACACTTCAATCACTGTCTTAGAGCACATTCTTTCTGCTTGGAAAAAGCACAGCTTGCAGTACGGCCGCCTCAGCCAGCTCCCGGATTCCAAAAGGCTCTGTTATCACAGAGGATGATGGCTCCACGCATGCCACTGCCCTGAAGACCTTCCAGCAGGACAAGAAGTGGAGGTATAAGACTGTGACACTGATGATTGTGACCCTGCACAGGCCTACGCTAACATGACTGCTTCTCTTAGTTTTTAACAAATACTTAAAATTTTTTCTTTAAATTTAATTTAGAAATAGAAAAACATTTACAGAATAAGAATATAAAGAATATAAAATACTTTTTGCAATAAACACACAATATGCTTCTGTTTAAAGTGTTACTACAAAAGTATTAAAAAGTTTTAAAAATTAAAGTTTATAAAGTAAAAAAGTCACAACAGGCAAAAAAAAAAAGCTTAATATCAAATGGGAAAAAAAAATCTTTTGCTGTAAAGTTAGTGTGGCCTAAATGGACAGTTTTACAAAGTCCACAGGCGTCTACAGCAATGTCCCACCACACACCAACTCACCCACAGCCACTTCCAGTCCTGCCAGCTCCACTCATGGCAAGTGCCCTTTAGAGCTGTGCCATCTGGATCTCCTCATGAGACTTCCACAGAAGTAGGCAAGAACAAGATTCACAGGACAAGGGTCTACCTATGACACAAGGGGAGCTTAAGCCTATGCACACAGAGAACCTTTGTGGAGTGGACTGGCCACATGTCACATGGCTATACATCTTCCCTGTCACCCTCAGCAGCATGGTGGGAATTAGGCAGACTCTCATCCCAGGGACCTGGGTGAATGGCCCAAAGGAGAGGGCTCAGAGTCCTTCTGCCTGCGGTACACTTCCAACTCGGGGCCATGCAGGTGAAGCCCTCTAACAGGCTGCCAGCAGGGTCAGAGATGTAGGCACATCTTCAGGGTGCACTCATGGTGTGTATAAAGAAAGAAGGGACAGACGTGCCAATGGCCTTAGTGCCAGGTAGGGTAGGGCCTTCCCTCTGCCCTCAGAAGGTGATCACTGGTGCAAGAGCTAACACTGCCACTTCCTGGGGAGAGCAGGAGAACTGAGTGGAGGACAAGCCTGTATGGGCAAGCCATGTGGGCAGCACTGGGCATGGAATCTGCAGACACACAGGCCTGGCAGAGGGGAAGCAAGAGCAAGGTCAGAGACTCAGCCCACTCTGTCCAAACCAAAAGGAGAAGTGATCATCAAGTTGGAGGACAGAGACCTGGAAGGTGAGGCCATGGGGCTGACTGGTAGGGTGTTTCTCAGAATGATCAAAGGAGGCCAAGGGCAGATTCTGAGCTATGGTGGCATGCTGAAATCTGGAACTATATTCCTAGTGGAAGTAATTTCCTAAGTCTTGATAATACACTCATCCCAAAATTCCCATGTGGTCCTAGCAGCTGAGGACCTGTATGGTTCACTGCAAGGGCAGCAAGAGCGTACTATAAATTATACAAAAGAAGCAGCCTCCAAAAAAATGTGTAATCATAATGGGTAAGAAGAATATAGACCTCAAAAACAGCTCAAGCTAACAAGATGCTGACCACAAACCAACATTTCCATTGTCAGTGGGAGATATGTGGATAAGTCGTACAGTAACAAAAAGACAGAAGAGGGTCAGTTTTCAAAAATAGCTCAAATAAAAACCTGGCAGGGCTGGGATTGTGGCTCAGTGGTAGAGCACTTGCCTAGCATGTGTGAGGCACTGATTTCAATTCTTAGCACTGCATATAAATAAACAAAATAAAGTCCATTGACAACTAAATATATATATACACATACACACACACACACACACACACACACACACACACATACATACATAAAACCTGGCAAAGTTAGTGAAGTATACACTGGAGCAAGGAAACACAACATCATACCTGTTAGAATTGCTAAAATCCAAAAAATTGAATCTAACAAGTGCTGGCAAGGATGTAGGAACACTCCTTCATCACACGTAGGGATGCAGAACAGCAAGGCACTTGGCAAGGCAGCTTGCTGGTTCTCTGTCATCTAACTGTGCTCTCACCAGACCACCTTCAGCTACACTCCCTGGTCTCACCCACACAGGTTGAAAACTTACATTCACACAAAGGCCTGCACACAAATGATTATAGCAGCTTTATTCAGACTGCCAAAAGCTAGAAGCAACCAAAATACTTTTCAATAGGTGAACAGATAGACAAGCTGGCACATTCATAGGACTGAGTACCACCAGTGATGAAAAGAAAAGAGCTGTCAAGCTATGAAGACACAAAAGAATTGTAAGTGTATGTCACTAAGTAAAAGAAGCCAGTGTAGAGAACCTAATCCAACCTATTGGTCATTCTGGAAAAGGTAAAATAATAGTGATGGTAACAGATCTGTGGTCATCAGGGCTCAGGGCAGGGTGAATGAGTAGGGCATGGGGGATTTTCTGGTGGTAAAAGTACTCTATACTGGTAATACTGTGGTTCCAGCTATAAGACATAAAGCAGTTATCAAAATCCATAGAGATTTACAGCATAAAATATAAATCTTAATGTACACAATTTTTACAAAAATCATTTAGGAGAGTGGAAGAATCCCAAGACAGTATGTGGAATGTGATGACACAGCCTAACTGCACTAAAGACATATGAAATGTCTCACTCAAGGGTGGGAAATAGGGAGCTCTGGAGTGGAGTGGAGTCTGCAATACGCAAGGCAGCAGAAAGCCCACACAAGCACCACACTTCAGTTGGTGAAGCTGTCTCCAGGGAGAATGACTTAACAATCCCAACTCAGCTGTGTGTGTCCACCAGAACCCAACCACTAAAGAATTAAGTAAAAGGATGGTGGATGATGGGAATCAACTGTCTTGTTTTGGGAGTGGGGGTTACACACAAGAACAGAGAGTCTAGAGTGATCCATGTGGCAATGAACTAGAAATGTCAGTATGAAATGATATTTAGCTTAACCCAGACACAGATGACTACAGGTAAGTATTTAGATATGTGCATTGTACAGGTTGGTACATTCAAGTAGCCCTTTGCTTTGTCAGTTAGAAGGACCTAAAGCAACAAAACCCAGTAGCTACATATATATTCTGCAACCAAACAGATTGTTTCTTGTACTATCTGCTGATCAAAGGAACCAGGAATCCT